ATGGTATGGTATAGTATGGTAATGGTATGTAATGGTATGGTATGGTAATGGTGTAGTATGGTATGGTATGGTAATGGCATGGTATGGTAATGGTTTGGTAATTGTACGGTAATGTATGGTAATGGTATGGTATAGTATGGTAATGGTATGGTATAGTATGGTAATAGTATGGTAATGGTATGGTAATGGTATGGTAATGGTATGGTAATAGTATGGTATAGTATGGTATGGTATAGTATGGTAATGGTATGGTATGGTAATTGTATGGTAATGTATGGTAATGGTATGGTATGGTAATAGTATGGTATGGTATGGTATGGTATTGTATGGTATGGTATGGTATGGTAATGGTATGGTAATGGTATAGTAATAGTATGGTATAGTATGGTATGGTATAGTATGGTAATGGTATGGTAATTGCATGGTAATGTATGGTAATGGTATGGCATGGTAATAGTATGGTATGGTATGGTATAGTATGGTAATAGTATGGTATAGTATGGTAATGGTATAGTAATAATATGGTATAGTATGGTAATAGTATGGTATAGTATGGTATGGTATAGTATGGTAATGGTATGGTAATTGTATGGTAATGTATGGTAATGGTATGGTATGGTATAGTATGGCATGGTATGGTATAGTATGGTAATGGTATGGTATGGTATGGTAATGGTATGGTATCCTCCTGAGACCATGCGTCCACATATGGGGACATTACATTTTGGCTTTGCTGTACCTTATACTTCACTCTGTTCAATCGTGTTTTATACTTTGTTAAGCCTGTTAATGTTGTTGTGTTATACTGTAAAATAAGCCCATTGTCCCAAACTGAGGACATTTTTTTTATAAATGTATGTCATAACCATGTAACAAAATACAACTTCCTGTTCGAAGAGAAAGCTTTATTTATACATTAATCAGGTCCATCTAATCACAAATATCTAGGAGATATGAAAAATGCATCGCAAACCAGAGCTCAGGTCTCAGGAGGGTATGGTATGGTATTATGTCAGGCCGTAGAGCAGTTCAACTCTTCATACTCTGCTGTGACATGAACCAGCTTTATGGACCCACCTCAATGAGTTGCAAACTGCTGGATGTTGGGTTTTTGAAGTTTCTATACCCTCAACTTCTTTGGGTGCTTGTATTCCAAGAGTTGGGATGTTTTCTGCCCTCATTTATGCCAACTCGCATCTTATTGAGAGGAATGTCATTTTCTGCAAACATACAGGATGAGTGACGAGTGCAGTTTGTTGAAGAAGCTGACAGTTTGTTTAATCAAAGGGAACAAAAGCTAAAATGAACACAACAGTAGCTGAAAGGAAAAAAGTTAGCTAAGGACTATCCATCCATTATCTTTACCCGCTTCTTCCTTTTTAGGTCGCGGGCGTCACTGGTGCCCATGTCCAGCCATCACTGTGCGAGAGACGAGGTACACCCTGGACAGGTCTCCAGTCCATCACAGGGACACAGAGAGACATACGAGACAACCATTCACTCTCTCACTCACACTTAGGGACAATTTAGTGTCCAATCAGCCTAACATGCATGTTTTTGCTCTGTGGGAGAAAACTGGAGTACCTGGGGAAACGCATGCACGGAGAGAACATGCAAACTCCACCCAGAAAGGTCCTGGGCCAGGATTTGAACCGGCGACCTTCTTGCCGAGAGGTGGCAGCTCTACCAACTGAGTCACCATGCTGCAGACTACAAGTATCAAAAACACTAGCTACAGCCTATGTTACATAAAAGAAGCAATATGCTAGTTAAAATCCCCACAAAAAGCCAAAGGTTAACAAAAAGAAGCAAAGGCAAGCTAGGTACTAAAGGTGGTAAAACTTTATCTAAATACTAGCTAAAAGTAGCTAAATGTTAGCTAAGAGTAGAAGAGTACCAGCTTAAGCCAAAGGTTGAAAAAGTCTACCAAAAAATAGACTTAAAGCTAAAACTAAACATTTCAGAAAGCTAAAAAAAAAAACTAGCTGGAATAGTAAAATGGTAACTAAACCGATAAATAAGCTAGCTAAAATTAAGGAAAAATGTTAGTTTAAAGCTAAAAACAACAAAATGCTACCTAAAGGAGAAAAATACTAACTAAAAGCTAAAAGTGGCAAAATGCTACCTTTTGAAAAAAAATGATAGTTTAAAGCTAAAACTAAACTAAAGCTAAAAGCTAAATCCCCCAAATAAAATAAAAACTAGAAAATTTGAGGGGGGGAAAAAAAACTGTTGTGGGGAAAAAAGGGATTCCCAAAACAACCAGGTGTAAACTTCACCAGATTTAATACAACGCTTTGGAGAACGGCCAACAACCACAGAAGATCAAGGCATTTACAAGTTACCATCAGTGCTTTCACCTGCGCTCTGAGGCTCTGACTTCCTAAACTTAAAACTTTTGAGAAAGTCGATTTTGTAGAAAGCCTCCAGTTGTTCCCCCACTGTCGAGCCATTACCAGAAAACACAGCTGCAGACAGCAGGACGAGGCATCTGTAAGCTCTGGGCAGCTCCCAAGGACTCTCCGAGTTTCTGCCGCTGTAATCATATCAGACATCTTGAGGACAATAAAACTATCTCTTCCTGTCCCTTTACTGACCTGAAGACATGAAGACTGATGATGGAACTTTGAATATCAATCACAATCACAGAAGCAGTGAAAGTTGTGGAGCATGGTTAGTGCAAATTATACACGTTCCCTCGACACAAGTTTTCCCGTTGACCACAGGATTTCAGAGAAATGGATGTGAAAGTGCGTCGGACACAGCAGCTCTAAAAACACTCGTCACTCAAGATGAAGCTTCCGGGTCACAGATGCTACATCTTTAGCTACTTTTAGCTTCAAGTCTAAGTTTTGCTAATTCTAGCGATCGTTTGCAAAGATTATTATTTTTTTGTTACCATGGTGACCATATAGAGCAGGGGTGTCAAACTCTTAGACATTAATACGTAGACGCCCCGTTGGACGTCGAAAGGCGTTCCTACGTCGGCGCCATCTTGGTGGCGTGAGGAGGAAAGCGGAGACGGTAAAACGCCTCGTGCGTGTGCTGCTTCAACAAGTCTCTTGATCGTTTTTCAGCCATCGTCTGCATAACTGTCACCGTTATAAACAGAGTCTCCGGAGTGTGCTCGTCAACGTGATGGGAAATGGATTCCCGCGCAGAATTAATTTATTCGTTTAATTTTCATTCATTCGTTCAACCTTTACTTTAGTCTGCTCATAATAACAGTATGTGTACATAACCTGCATGTACGTGTGGTGTTTAAAATGATTTTTGTTGCCTCCAAATGGGCACAAAATAAATGAAAATGAGATATGTTTATTCCTTGTGTGCAGAGGGGGGATAATCCACATTTATTCTTATTCATATATTATTAAAATGTAACATACACTGGTTTATTGCACTAATTTACAGCTGATGAAACATGAATTACTGATGTGCGGGATCAAAAATGTTATTGTACTAAACTAAGAAGCTTTAATACATTGTTTTTTTGTACCTGTTTTTCATTAACTTTAGTGTGAAGTAAATAATCTGGGGCATTAACATAAAATTCACTGTTAAAATGTGCTTTAAAATCCTGATTGTATTAGTTCACAGCGCAGCTTTGACTCCTCCAATATGGCGGACACACAGTTACATCCCATCAGCGGGCCAACCTGTCAACGGGGCGTCTACGTATTAATGTCTATGATCAAACTCACCAAAATTAAAACCTTTTTCAAACTACATTAACTCAAATCAGATACCGGACATCTTTTCTTCCTCAACAAGTGTTTGGTTGGTCTCATTTGATGCTCTCTGTTGTGCTTTCGACATCATAATCAAAGATTACTGAAAAAATTCAAGAGGTAGAAGTATTCTACGTTTCACATATCATCTTGGGGGCCAGATAAGATGTCAGACTCCCAGGTCTCGGTCCCGCACAGCAGGAGACCGGGCTTTCTCCTGCGCTGCCCCTCGGCTGTGGGACGCCTGGCTTCATATCTGAGGGCCCCACAGACTGTGACATGTTTTAAAAAAGGTCTTAATTTTAACCAGTTTTTTAATTGATTGCACTGTACTTTTTGTTTTTTATTCACCCATAGTTCTTATTTGAGTATTTTATCTGCATTTTGTGCGTTTTAAGTTTTTTCATGTGATCATTCTGAGGCGTTATCCTCCTGGTTGTTCCTCCTCTCGGTTGCTTTTACCCTGACGTTATCTGATGCTCACTCTTTGTCGCACTTTGAGATTCACTGTGAATGTAAAGTGCATTATAAATAAAAGTTATTATTATGAGCGAGGGCCTCATTTGGCCCCCGGGCCTCGAGTTTGACACATATGATAAAGAGCCACTGGTTTAAACTCCCTTTGATATTGGTTGTCTTTACACTTCCTGTACAGTTTCTACATCAAAACAGACATTCCTTTTTCATGGATTAGATTATTACGAGGTCACGGTGGGATTTGGGGCAGGAGCTGCATTTGCACTTTTCAAAATGGCTTCAGAGAAAAACAAAACACCAATTTCAACTGGAAGTTTAGGTAAAATCAAAATCGATCCACGGATGAGCATAGGTGAAAGCAAAACTGTTTCCTGTTTGATAAGCTTTACAGACAGATTAAAAACATTAAATAGTTTCTTTCTCAGAGCCACAAAGGTTTACTTAGAAACATATTGGTTGGGTTTTGCCATCAGCGTCTTCATATTGAACTTGGTGCCGAGCCAAAACTATAAATACACACCGAAAGAGCAAATTTAGCCGTTCTCATCCCCTGGGACAGCAGGCGTCAGTCGAGTTGTACTGTACTAATGGGACAGAGCTCCCAGGAGGTGGGACCTCCTCTGCCTCCCCTTAAAGACAGTAGCTATAAAGGAGCAAAACGGGGAGACGGCTCCGGTTCTCGGGTGAATAGGCGTCAGAGAGTGTGTTTTTGTGCGCACACACAGACAGAGCATCCATCTCTGCGAGTACAACAAACCCCAGTCTCAGCTGGGTGTAACGTGTGAACGAGAGGCTGAGCTCAGAGCCGAGGAGACAGGAGGAGGAGGGTGAAAGAGTCAGAGACCAGCAGAGCGTGGAGCAGGTTCCTTCTGCAGCCCTCGCACTCAGCCTCAGCAGACATGCTGCCCAACTTCGCCGGCAACTGGAAGATGAGGAGCAGTGAGAATTTTGATGAACTTCTCAAAGTCCTGGGTAAGTCCCCTCCTGTCTCATTCCTGCATCCTGTGCAAATCAAATTTTACAAATTAGGCTTTTAAATGTTTGCTGTGACTCTCACCACCATCCCATTGTTCTGAGAAGCTCCCTGGGGAATAAAAGAGGCAGAGATGCTTGTGAGGGGAAGCCCCTCAGCTTTCCAGCAGATAAGAGGCAGAAGATGCTGCGTTTCAGCCTGAACAGACGTGGTATTGTCTCGTGAAGAGAGGAGAGCAGGGATGAACGTTATTCATGTTGAGCATTTAAGTAGGGCATGCATTAATGCCAGAGGAAGTCTGTTGTTCTCATGTCTCCTGTTCTTTTTCAGTCCTCGTCCCCCCTCTTGGTCTCCACCGGTGATGGTTTAGGTTTAGACCAGTTTAACTGGGTCACTCGATTGTGTTGCAGCGTTTTTTGTCATGCCAGGACTGCTCAAACAGACAGGAGCTCAGCCAGAAGGGCTTGCCATCTTTAGAATGCTGTAGACATTTTTCAGCGACAGGGTCCCACAGAGAAGCTGCCGACACCAAACCGGATCACAACCTGAACTTTTCCTGGCATGCTGCAACGGTACACCAGACAAGCTCCAGCGCAGCTACCGCCCATAACTTTGCAGTAATCTAAGTTAAGACAAAATGCCAAGAAGAGTACAGAGAACTTCAGTCTCTACATGAACGAGTTCATAGTTCTCAGTCAGAAAAGGGTGGATTGTTCAGGTCGAGGTTCTGCCTCAAGTGGAGGAGTTCAAGGGGTTGTGGGTTTTATTCACAAGTGAGAGAAGAATGGAGCGTGAGAGTGACAGACAGATTGGTGCAGCGTCTGCAATATTGTGAACTCTGCACCGGTCCGTTGTGGTGAAGAGGGAGCTGAGCTGTAAGGCAAAGCTCTCTGTTTACTGGTCGGTCTATGTTCCTCCCCTCACCTCTGGTCATGAACTCTGGGTAGAGACTGAAAGAACAAGATCGTGGATACAGGAGGTTGAAATTAGTTTCCTCTGCAGAGCTGGACTCTCCCTTAGAGACAGGGTGAGAAGTTCAGTTATCAGGAGAGACTCGGAGTAGAACCTGCTCCTCCACATCGAGAGGAGCCAGTTTAGGTGGTTCGGGCATCTGGTAAGGATGCTCCTTGGGTGCCTCCATAGGGAGGTGCTTCGGGCATGTCCGGCTGGGAGGAGACCCCGGGGAAGACCCCGGACACGCTGGAGAGACTACGTCTCTCGGTTGGTCTGGGAACGACTTGGAGTCCTCACAGAAGAGCTGGAAGAGGCTGTGGAGAGATGTCTGGACCTCCCTGTTGAAGCAGATTTCATGAATTAAAGAGTTCGCAGTTCGTGGATTTCTATGACACATTTTTACTGTTATAAAAACATCTTCAATTCAATTCAAATTCAATTCAAAAATATTTTATTAATCCCAGAGGGAAATTAAGCGTCGTCGTAGCTCATCATCCTGGTTTCATTCAAGAGTTGTTAGATGCTGATAGCTGTGGGCAGGAAGGATCTCCTGCAGTGAAGCCGAAGAATCTGGTCACAGATACTGATCCGTCCACTCGGATCCAGCTTGCTGTCAGATCCAGCCGGCCTCTCGGTCCTCCTGGGCAGCAGGACTGCCCCAATGCCGGGCAGAATTCCTCCCTGAGCGATGGTCGCTGCTCCCAGCAGTCTGCCGAGCTTCTCGTCACCACGGACAGACAGCTGAAGGTGCCGGGAGATGATCCTGGTCCTCCCATTGTCACGAGCCGAGTTTCTCACCATCTCCACGATCTCGGTGGTCAGGTACTCGAGAACCAGGTCAGGTCAGGTCTCTTTTCTAAATGAGTCCTCGAGGCTCAATGGGATTTACCTGTCTAAATAAAGGTTGAATGAAAAAAAACACCGCCAGGTTGACGGGAATTCATCCACGACACCTCCTTTTCAACTCATTTGGGATTTGGGGCGGTAGTTGAAGTATTTGAGCTTTGAGATGTTGATCAGCTGCTCCTGGTTGTTAAAAAACACATTGTTGCCATGGTTACGCATCATAAAAAATGCCCAAAAGAAAAAAGGTTTCGGTAAAGATCCTTCCAGCTGCGCAGCATCTGACACCAGAGGAAACAATCATCTGAAAAAAATAAAATAAAATGACAAGTTGAACCTTGTGGTCGTTCAGATTCTGGTTGGGGTCGATTAAGACGTCACATTAAAATGCATTCAACCTGTGGATGGTAGCTGGACCACTGCGGTGTAAGGATGGTATGACTTTGCAGAACTGTTCAAACTTGCACAGATAAAACTTTGACCCTGTTTGTAACGTCATCTGCTTCTTGTACGATAAAACTGAAGATTCAGTAATTTGGCAGCTCATAAAGCCAGCCCCGCCTTTTGACAGGTCTGTGCAGATTTATGGAGGACCACCGCTAATGTGGCCATCAGATCTAAAACCTGGCACGACGTCGTGCAGTTTGACTGAAGAACCCCTGACGGTGACCTCCGTGCCAAGATTCCACAGATTTCACCGGGTTTGGATAAACGGCCGAAGTTTCCGTCAGCGCCACAGAACATTTATTGTGTTCCTGCACAGAAACAACACGTCTCTGTCATTCTCTGTGAAAGTTCGTGAGGTCGTTTCAGGACAAACCCCCAAAAGATAAAAAATAAAATCAAGGAGACGTGCAGACAGCGAGTCTCCCTAAATCTAAAGTGGAGATGTGATCGAGGCTGGCAGGAGAGGCTGCGGGGTCCGTGTCTGGGTGGAGCGTTGGTGTTCGACAAAACGCCGTTTCACTTTGGCACAGTTTTGTGTAGATGTGCGCCTCTCTCTGTCGCTGCACTTACAGTTGGCTCTTCTGGTCTTTATTCATTAAATATTTCTTCCTTTCGTCTACAGCTCTCTTTTATAATCCCGTTTCCTTTATGTGGTGGTCAATAATCCGACGGTTGGCTCGTCTCGGCCTGCAGCAGACACAACATCCCAGATTTCATTGGTTCAAACGTCCTGGGTTGTGTGTGTGTTCAGGCGTGAACGCCATGCTGAGGAAGGTTGCCGTGGCAGCGGCCTCCAACCCTCAAGTGGAGATCCGCCAGGATGGCGAGCAGTTCTACATTAAAACGTCCACCAGCGTGCGCACCACCGAGATCAACTTCCGCATGGGTGAAGAGTATAACGAGGAGACTGTGGACGGACGCAAGTGCAAGGTAGAACCAGGAGCAGAGCGCTGTGGCTCGGGCGAAAATCATTTAAAAACACCCGAGACTATTCAAACTGGATAAATTACGTTTCCCGTGAAAATGAATGTGATTTTTTTTTGTTGCTGAATGATTTTTGCTGAAAGCTGCTGAAGAAGCTGAAAAGTTTTATCTCTAAAATGATAACGTGAGTTGAATTTGAGCACCTGACGTCTGCTGGAAGCAGCTGAGTAAAAGATGCAGAAATGTGTAGAAAAAGCTGAAGGGAGCCGAAATGAGCGGAGTAGGTTGAAATAAACCGAGAGAGGCTCAATAAATTACAAAATAAAACCTGAAATTAGCAAGAAAAAAAACAGAAATTTTGCAGGAAAAACAATCTGACACTAACAAAAAAGTAGCTGATCCGGCTTAAAAAACAAACTGAAATTAGTGGAAAGAGACTGAAAGGAGCATGAGCTGAAATTAGAAAGAAATACAAGTTCAAAATTAGCAAACAAAAATTAAAAAGTGTGACAAAAGGCTTGAATTAGCAGAAAACTGAAAACAGCTGAAGAAGCAGAACAAAAGCTAAAATGAGCCGTAAACTGTGAACGGAACAAAGAGTTTAAAGGAAAAGAGCTCCGTTAATTTACAGTTAGAAAAACATGGCTGACAAAGCTAAATATCTAACGTTTTATTTTATATTTTTAATTCCCTCTCCCCCGTCAACTCCTCTGAGACACTTAGTCAATTTGGCATGACTGTCTCAGAGGAGATGACGGGGAGAGGGCGGGCCCGGAGGCCATCTTAGCACCAGCAAACTGGTTTTTTCCCACTATGGAGCATTCTGTTTGTGGGAATCAGTTTGTCTGGTGTCTCCTCAGATTTGAAGAAGTCCTTTGGATAAAGGACGAAATGTCTCAGCAAAAAAATAAAACGAAACCGTCCAGACCTGCCTGAACATTGTTGGTGTGATTGTAATGGTTTGTGTCTTTTCGTTCAGTTTTCGGCAACAAATGCTAATGGTGTCCACGAACAGAGGCTCTGATCCAGGGGCCCCCAGCTGACCCCCCAGCCTTTGGACCTGAGCCCAGTGGGTCTGTTCAGTAATCCTTCCAAAAGTTCCACTAAATGAACATTTCCCCCCTGAGAACCCCCCCCCCCCACCTGGATCTCTTCCACCTCACTTTTCTCGCACCCGTCTTCAACTTCCTGAAAGTTCAGCAAACTTTCATTTTTATCAAAAACAAAACATTCAGCTCCTTTTAATGCAGACATCAGTTCGTTAGAGAAAGATTGATTTAAGAAAACACAGGAGTGTTGGGATAAATTACACATTTCTATCATGGTTAAAAGCTGCATCACATCACGTTAAAAGATGAATTGTATCATAATTAATGACTGGATGGAATCACATTTAAAGGCTGATTCTTATCACAAATAAAGGCTAAATAGTGTTGTGATTAAATTTTCAATTCCATCATGATTAAAGACTGAAGCATATTGTAGCCAAAGGCCAGAACATATTGAAATTAGAACAAATAGTATTGAAATCACAGGCTGAATTGTATTGTGATTAAAGGCTTGATTGTAATCTAAAGATGAATGGTATCATGAATTAAGGTTGACTCATATTGCAGTTAAAGGCTGAATTATATTGTATTTTGCTGCTCGTGTATCAAACTGTTAGCGGTGCATCGTGATGTTTTGTTCACTGACCAAAGATGAACACATCCAGCTCATGTGAAAGATATCTAATAACCTACACGTTGTCACGTATTAATTACACTTTTCACTTATTTAAATCAAATATTATTTGTACTTGTAAGCTCAAAATAACAGCAGCAGCATCTAGCTATAGCACCTCCAGTGCAGCCTGGAGCACTTCTTGTAGAAATGTCATCAGATTAGAATACCGTATTTTTTGCACTAACAGTCACAGTTTTTTGCATCGTTTGCACGCCCTGCGACTTAAAGCCGTAACGACATATTTGTTTTTTCTCTCCCATATTTATAAACTAATTTTTGGCTGAGATTTGACTATTTTCATTCATTCTGACATGGAAAATATTGAACACTACCATTTTCAGCCGCTAGATGGGACTGTAGTAGTATGGCATGCTGTTGTATTATGTAATAGGTAAAAGTGACTATTAATGACACAATCGGCTTGCCATAGCCTGCCACCATCGTCTGTCTGGAGCAACCGTCGAATCAGCTTCATTTCTCTGCGTCTCTCCGGCGAAATGCAGCTGATTTGACCAGTGAAGTGCATTTATTAAGTAAAAGTTCAACTGAGACACACCTTTACTATAAAGTCGAGCAAACAAATAATAGTTTTTAGGCGGTTATCTTGTTAAATTTCGAAGAAATGCACAACAAGTCGCCCTGTGCGCATTCATGTTTCCACATATCGGCTTTTGAAATGCAGCTGATTTGACCGTCAAAGTGCATTTATTAAGGAAAAGTTCAACTGAGACACTTTTGCAATAATTTCGAGCTAACAAATAATAGTTTTTAAGTGTTAATCTTGTTAAATTCTTGTTAAAGTCCTCCCGTGCACGCTCCCGCGGCCGCCATTTGGCAGCCAATCGATTTGTGGCACAACGCCGGCCCATGTTTCTGGGTTGTCAGCGATGACGCGTAACAAATTCTACGTATACGGCAAAGCAACGTATTTATGGATATATCCAATTTTTTAAACCTATTTGGACTGATGCGACTTATAGGGCGGTGCGACGTGTACGGCAGAAAATACGGTAGCGAGCGGCGTAATGCAAAACTAACGTCTGCATGAAGGGTTATAAAGTGGAAGCAAATATTCTTTGTCATATTTTAATTGTTTATCTTTTCACAAGCAAAACATCTGTTTCACTTTAAGTTATAATGGATGTTAAAGCCAATAAATGTGCTTCGGAGCTTCACTTTAAAGCCACGTTTCTCTTTAATGTTAAAAACACCACAGTTAACGTTAGGGATGCACAATATTGGATTTTTGGCCGATATCGATATTTTTATATACATTCCTTTGTTAGAACATATTCCTCTTATTTAGGCTTATTTGCTACAGAAATTGTGCAACAGCTGTAAGAGCTGGTGACATATATTCAGTAACAGTCATATTCACTTATATTAAATGAAAAGTGTTAAATGTTATTAGCATTAGTCACCTGTGATGCTGTCTCACTTGTGGAGGTTTGTTCCAGGTTCCTATAGCTGCAGGGTGGATCCTCTGCACTCCTGTGCATGAAGGACAGACTTTTTAAGTTCAAAGTTTTTCTCTATCCATTGTTCAGTAAGACTAATCATGCTAACGGGGCTAACACGGCGTCCAGATGTTTGTGGTAAAACTCACCCAACAAGTCGTGCTATCAGCTGTTGGCTTCTCGATGACGTTGGAAATGACGGCTCGGGTAACGTTAACTCAACATTATTTAAATGAAGGTTGAGGGCTTGTCTAGTACTCTGGGACCTCAGGGCTCTCCTTCTGCTATTGTTTCTGAAGAGTTAATGAAAAATTAATGTCCCTGTGCAGTTTCACCACTTGGTGTGACGTTCACGTCCGAGCAGAAGGATCCGGGGCAGCTCGAGTCGGATGAACGTTATACAAACTGATCGATTATCAGGCCTAAATTTATACAGACCGATCGATTATCAGGCCTAAATTTATACAGACCGATCGATTATCAGGCCTAAATTTATACAGACTGATCGATTATCAGGCCTAAATTTATACAGACTGATCGATTATCAGGCCTAACTGCACTTCAGCAGTTTTTTTTTTTAAACTTTTTTTTGTTACTGCTGATTTCAGTCTTTCAAATATTTTATTTTTTTATTTTTCTGCTCCTTTCAGTCATTTTATGTTAATTTAAGCCTTTTTCAGCAGCTTTAATTTTAATTTTGTGGCCACTTTAATGGGTGATATTTGACTTATGCTGCTGATTATCTCATGCTGCTGATTATCTCATGCTGCTGATTATCTCATGCTGCTGTATTTATTCATACTAGAGACTCATGCTCAGGCTGCTGTTTAATATACAATATTATTTTACATTATTAGTAATTAGTGTACATCTTAGATCCTTACTGGGTTTTTTATACTTTATATTTTTGCTATTTTGGGGTGTATGGGACTATGTACATAATTCTGTTCCATCTCATGTACCACAAGTGATGAGAAGGGCAATAAAGAACCTTGAACATTTAATTTTCCTGCTTTAAGCAAAAAAAAACAAAAAACCCGTCCAAATTCAAGTTGCATTAGTTTAGAGATGAAACCTTTTCAGCTGGTTTCAGCTTTCAGCAAAAATCATTCAGCAAAAAGTACTCATGCTGCATTTTTGCAGATTACATTGTTTTCACTGTAGAGCTCAGATAATACAGATTAAAGATTACAGAGCTATGATAACACCCACCAGCTCGATCACGTAAAAACCTTTAGACACGCCGTCATCACCCCAGATTGTCCACGTTTATCAGTCCAAGGTGATAATCTTTTCACAGTACAAATTAAACATCTTAAAAAGTTTTTACTGAGCTGTATCAAACGATGCACTTAAGTACTCCAGTACTTCTCCAGATACATCAGTGTACAGTTCTAAAATGCAGGTACGCACTCCGTGTATACAAATAGCTGTGTCCCCATACCAGCCTCAAGTACTTCCACTAAAAAAATCAAAGTTCATTAGTTTATTTTGTGGGGGGGCCTAACTCCAGATGTTGTGATGTTTGTTAAAACCGTATTAAAATGTTTCTCTGTGATGAGACATTTTTAAAGGTTTTCTTTTCGTTTAGAGCCTGGCCACCTGGGAGTCGGAGAACAAGATCCACTGTAAGCAGACGCTGGTGGACGGTGACGGACCCAAGACCTTCTGGACCCGAGAGCTGAAAGGGGACGAGCTCATACTGGTGAGCGAGCAGCTCCCACTGAGAGACGGCGCACTACTCAGGATTAAAACTATAAACGGTTTTATTTAAACCTTTATTTGACCAGGAAATAAACCCACTGAGATTATTAATCTCTTTTACAAGGATGTCCTTGGATGCAAAAAACTGCGACTTATACGCCAAAAAATACGGTACATAAAGAACGATGGTGGGTCCTAAAGGGTGCACCTGTTCTTTACCTGAGAGCAGGTAAATGGGCTCCAGTTTAGTTAAGGTAGTGAGGGAGGCACATCTATATATCATGTCTCCATAATCCAGCTGTGACAAAAACAAACTTGTTACAAGCCGCTTACGGGAAGAAATGGAAAAATGATTTCAGTCTATACAAAAAAAAACAAAAAAACAGAGTAAATTTTAGCTTTTTTATTAGATGTGATGTTTAAAATTAAGATCTTTTTCCAGCCTAATACCGAGATATTTGTATGTGTCTACAAGTTCTACGATGTCACCACTCAGTGTTTCAATAGACGGAATGGTTACAGCAGATTTATGGGAAAACAGCATAACTTTGGCTTCATACCCTGATCATTGAAAAAAGTCCTTGAACGTCCTCCTGACAGCGGAGAAGGTTCTGACTGGGAATGAAGCTGGGTCGCTCTCACGGAGACCAGGAACACATCCGATGCATTCGGATGAGACTTTCCAGCAGCTGACGTGCTCAGTTTGAGAAATAAGCAATGCAGGAGGTGCACTAAGTCAATCCCTGGAGATCTGACCGTCAAGGAAATGAGAGTCGATTCCCATGAAGCTGAGCTTTCATCCACCCCAGGATGAGGCTGACGTTGCAGCCGAACTTCTGTATTTACTCAGATTAATATGAGCAGGAGTCTATTGGTCTGAAGCCCCTCCATCCCTTTGCAGGGGAGCAGTCTCCACTGTCGGCTCCCACGCTGTTGGTCCAAGAGGTTTTCCTCTTAAAGCCTTTCAAGAACAACAAGCTTGAAGCAACAACGTGGATGGTTTAGATGGTTTTGGTCAACGCTGAGTTTAGATGGACAACAAGCTGAGACAGGGCAGAGCTGACGGTCTCCTGTGGGTGTGATGGTGAGAAAAGCAGAGTGCGGTCGCAGCCCGTGACCTCGGCCGGCGGTCCAGGAGTATCTGAAGCGTTCACGCGCCGATGGAGGCTGATCTGGCCGAGCTGCAACATTAGCTGAAGCTCTTTGTCACGCCACCTCAGCCTAACGTTTAGAACGCCTCTAATCTGCTAAACCTCGATGAGAAGCTTGTTTTGGTGCCGCAGCAGCTTTATGGTGTACATGGAGGACAGCAAGGGCTTGGTTTGAGGAGATGCGTCTTAATAAACACTAGTCATGCTGTTGTTCTTGTTTGCATTATATAGACATATGTGAACTCACAGAGTGGTAGAAACCGCACATGTTGGCAGGTCATGTGACTGTAGTGCAGCGACTGCAGTATCAAATCATATGGATGATGGAGTTGGCAGCACCAGGACACTTCGGTCCCGGCAGAGATTGGTATGGTACCCAGTTGAACTCAGATGTAAGCAATGTGTACAAAATGGAGTCGTTCGTTAATGTGTCCTGCAGCAAGTCCCCACAAAGCTGTCGGGACCGGTTCTCCAGACGTGTCAGGTCAGCTCTGGGTCAGAGTTGATGTCTGAGCTGAACCCACGCATGCTTGATCAGGGAAAGACTGACGGACCTGGGTGACCATGAAAACACCTCAGTGCGGTTCAGGCAGTCCGTAGACACGTGTGGATGGGCATCGTTGCTAGAAAAGATCTTTGAAATAATGAATCAGGAGTCCAGGATTGTTTGACTGAATGTATTAAAGAGGTATGGAGATTTTGCCCTTACATCCACGTGGACGCCACCATCAAAGCCAACACAAAGTGTCGTCCTTACAGCAACATGAGCAACATCTCTCCATCCATCCATCCATCCATCCATCCATTTTCTTCCGCTTATCCGGGGTCGGGTCGCGGGGGTAGCAGCCTAAGTAGGGAGGCCCAGACTTCCCTCTCCCCAGCCACTTGGGCCAGCTCTTCCAGGGGAATCCTGAGGCGTTCCCAGGCCAGCCGAGAAACATAGTCCCTCCAGCGTGTCCTGGGTCTTCCTCTGGGCCTCCTCCCGGTGGAACGTGTCCGGAACACCTCACCAGGGAGGCGTCCAGAAGGCATCCTAAACAGATGCCCAAGCCACCTCAACTGGCTCCTCTCGACGTGGAGAAGCAGCGGCTCTACTCCGAGTCCCTCCCGGAAGATCGAGCTTCTCACCCTGTCTCTAAGGGAGAGCCCAGACACCCTGCGGAGAAAACTCGTTTCGGCCGCTTGTATCCGAGATCTCATTCTTTTGGTCACAACCCAAAGCTCGTGACCATAGATGAGGGTAGAGAAGGTGGGCCTGTGATCGGAAGGTCACCAGTTCAACTCCTCGGCCCAAAATCAAAATGTGGGTGGGAAAGGGAAACACCCACACCTATCTCCACCCTCGTTTACCCCACTCTGGGCCCTTGAGCAGACTAGATGGCAGCTCTCTGCTCCACACAGAAGCTGTGGTAGCTCGGTGGTCTGTGGTTGTGTCAGGAAGGACATCCGGCGTAAAAACAATCTCCACGTCTTCACGCGAGTTAGTTCGCACCCCTGAAGAAGGGAGCAGCCGAAAGAAGAAAAAAGTCATTTCAGGTTTGTGTGAGGTCAGGTGATCACCCAGCACGTGGGACGTGCAGACATGACCCCGCGGTACGACCTTTGATCCAGCAGGAACTTAAGAGCATGAAGGTTCTGGTGGCTCAAGATGGACAACGCCAAGGAAGGATTGTAGTATTGTGCGACAGGTGGAGAACCTGCCGTCTGGACACAGGTACTGGACCACAACGCTCCATGTCGTGCCTCATCGTGTCTTGGCAGCTGGCAGCCTACAGACTCACCTCTGGTCCCGCTGTACGCTGACATTAGTACCAGAGCGGTCTGCTGCGTTTGAAGCGATGTGGAGATGGACAGAGAGAGCCGAGTCAAAAGGCGAAGCTCTCAATTTACCGGTCGATCTACGTTCCTACCCTCTGCACCACCACTCCCTGTCCATCAGTTTCTTTAAGTAAAGGAAGAAACGGCTGCAAACCGGTTCTCTACGTCCAACTTCATGGTTCAGCATGTGATGTTAAATAAATTTGACTTAAATCCTGAAAAAGTTTCATCTTCTCTGGAGAGTAAAGGCCATGAATCATCTTTGCACTGAGATGACCTCTCTCCTGTGGGAGGAAGACGCAGACAAACCCGACCGATCGCTGACTGGATCTAAACCCTTTTTATGTTTGTCCAAAAAAAGATTTCAGACGATGTGACAGCCAAACGCTCGAGGAGCTTCAGCCCGAGGCGTAAATCAGGATTAGCAACAACGAAGCGCTGGTCTCGTTGTGTGAGGCAGCGCCAGCTGTAAGTGGGACACATTTCCATAACATCTGCATAATCTGCCTAATTGGTTTAGTCTGGAAGCAGTTTCAGATTAAAGCGGTGTGGACTTTTGAGTCGCATCAGCCTGAAATCCACAACAACGCCGAGGTCGAAGAGAAGCTTGAGCTTTAATGTACAACTACAGCAGTTTCCAGTTCTTCGTGAATCTCGTTTGTTTCTGAAATGTATAAATGTTGACGCATCGGTGAAGTTTTCTCACTCGCTGAACAGAGATGTGTAAACGAGCTGATTGTGAGTTCATGAGTTTCATTAGGTCTCTCTTGTAAATGAGTCCTCGAGGCTCAATGGGACTTACCTGTAGAAATAAAGGTTGATTGATGAAGCAGCACTCTGCTGCGATCCAGTTTTCTTACGTACATTTTTCTGCATCTTTCTCGTTCCAACATTTTTGTGCTATTTCAACAAATCATAAATCAAAACGTTCAGCTCTTTCAGGGCCATCCTGCTGTGGCTTTTGGTATTGGTGCAACTTTAGCTTTTTTAAATATTTAGCCTTTTCTGCAATTTTTTTCCTCATTGAAAATGAATTGAGCTCATTTTACATCCTTCAGATCTTTAGAGCTGTTTACGACCTTTTTACTGCTCCTTTTACATCTTGTTCTGCTTCAGCTTCTTTCAGCTTCCTCGTGCAAATTTAAACTTTTTTCAGCTACTTTCAGCTAACTTCAGCTGTTTTTTCAGCTGTTTTGTGCTCCTTCTGATTCTTTCTACTAACTACATTTTTGTGCTTCTTCTAACTTATTTCTGCTAATTTCAGCTTGTTGTGCGCTTTCAGTTAATTTCTGCAAGTTTCAGCTTTTTCTGCTGTTTCAGCTACTATTTTGCTGTTTTATGCTAATTTTAGCTTTTTTGGCTAATTCGACATTTTCTGCACTAATTTCAACTTTTTTCAGCCTAATTGAGCAAAAATGGGCTCTCCCCACTTCCTTCTGGTAATTTAAGCTTCTTTCTGCTGTTTTAGCTACTTTTCATCTTTTTTTTTTTTTTTTTTTTGGTGCTAATTTCAGCTTTTTCCAGATAATTTCCACATTTTTTTTTGTTAATTTCTGCTTCTTCTTCCTCTTTTTTTTTTGGCCTAATTGGGCAAACGTGTTCTTTCTGCTTTTTTCTGCTAATTTAAGCTTGTAACTTTTCAACTAGCTTTTTAGCATTTTTAGCTAATTTCAACTGTATTCAGAAAACTTCAAGCTTTTCATGTTAATGTAATTTCTTCTACTTTCGGCCTATTTAACTTATCCTAATTTCAGCTTGTTGTGCTCCTTTCAACTTTTTTCTGGTAGTTTCAGTTTTACGTTTTCTTTTCAGCTACTTTACGGCCGTTTTGATGCTAATTTTAGCTTTTCCAGCTAATTCAACATTTTTTTAAGCTCATTTCAGCTATTTTGCTTCCTTCAGGTAGTTTATGCTTCTTTTTTCCTTTTCAGCTACTTTTAGCTTTTTTTTGTTGTTGCTAATTTCAGCTTTTTTAGCAAATTTCCTAATTTTTGTGCTAATTTATGCTTTTTTCAACCTAATTCAGCAAATATGTGTTCTTTCTGCATTCTTCTGCTAACTTAGGCTTGTTCTTCCATTTCAGCTACATTTCAGTATGTTTTTAGCTACTTTCAGCTGATTTTCAGCAAGTTCTTCTGGAATAAGCATTCACACTGCATTTTCACAGGAAATGCGATTTCTCCAGTTAATTTTAGTTTTAGTGTTTGCAAGCCTACATAGTTCTGCTTCACGTTATACTCTAAATAAAAACAGATTATTATGAAATGACTAAAGCGCAACGTCTTCTTTTTGTTGTCTTGCAGACGTTTGGGGCAGATGACGTCGTGTGCACAAGGATTTATGTACGGGAGTGAAGCTCTGCAGCCTTCATCAGGATTAATCCCATTTAGACCAGTCGTGCTAACGAGTTAACTCATCTACTAAGTATCCTGCGTGTTCTTTATAACAGTTTCTCCACAGGCCCTGTTCAGACCTGGCCTTCATATCCGTCTTGAGTGGTTTGATTAGTCAGGTCTGATTTGAAGCATTCACACCTGAAAGCTAAATATGTAGATCAAAAAATATATTTTTTGTTAGTAACCCGCTCAAACAAACAGGACATCGGCAGGTCTCGATAGTTTTTCTGTAAAAATGACAACACATTCCGGCTTTTATTTTGACATTAACACGGTTCCGAGCCATCCGAGTCGCGTTAAGAAATGTAAAACGGCGACTTCACAGGAGTCGTTGTCAGAGTAAAGCCTGAAGGTGTGAACCTCGTGAAGCAGTGAAACAGTTTCAGCTGTTTCACACATCTGGGCAGTGTTTAATGCAACATGACGCTGCTCAGACTGAGGTCCTGGGATTGATGAAGCACATTACGGCTCACAGTAACCGTGGCGGGTCCAAAAACATTTAAAGAGAATCTCACCACACTGTTCTGCATCCAGCTAAGATTTATAAAAGTTTAACTGTTGCTTGTGTACATTCGTTACCGCCACTGACACTACCCAACAAAAAACTGTCCCAATCATTCTTAAGTGTGATGTTTCATCGTTGTGTTCCCTTTTTATAAACGACTGGTGTGGATCCACACTTGGTCTGCAGCAGGGGAGTTGAACCCTGGTCCTCGAGGACCACTATCCTGCATGTTTTAGATGTTTCCCTGCTCCAACACACCTGATTTGAATCAATATGTGATAACCAGGTTCCTGCAGAAGATAAAGAGTTGTGTTGGAGCAGGGAAACAAGGAAAACATGCAGGAAGTGGTCCTCCAAGACCAGACATGGACACCCCTGGACAGCTACTCTAGATTATATCTGTGCTCCGCAGTTATTCCTACCAACATTCCACATTGAGGAGTTTTCAATCTCACAACGTCTTCTTCTTCTTCTTCTTTCGGCTTTTCCCTCTTCAGGTGTCTCCACAGTGAGTCATCCTCCATCTCTGTCCTCTGTGTCCTCTGTCCTCACTCCAACTACCTCCATGTCCTCTCTAACTGCATCCATATATCTCCTCTTTGTCTTTTTCCTGGCAACTGCATTTCGAACATCCTTCTACCAGTATACCCACGGTCCCTCCTCTGGACATGTCCAAACCACTGTCCCTCCTCTGGACATGTCCAAACCATCTCAGTGTGTCCTCTCTAACTTTATCTCCCAGTTGTTCAACCTGTGCTGTACCTCTGATGATCTCATTCCTGATCTTCTCCATCCTTGTCTCTCCTAAGGAGAACCTCAACATCTTCATTTCTGCCACTTCCAGTTCTGTCTCCTGTCTTTTTGTCCATGTCTCTGTCTCCAGATCATACAACATAGCTGGTCTCACCTTTGACCTTTGCTGACACCCTTTTGTCACAAATCACTCCTGAAACTTTTCTCCATCCACTCCATCCTGCCTGGACTCTCTTCTTCACCTCTTTACCACACTCCCCATGTTCATGGACAGTGGACATTAAGTCCTTGAAGTCCTGCACCTTTGTGACCTCTGCTCCTTGTAGCCTCACTGTTCCACCTCCTCCCTCTCATTCACACATGGACTTTGTCTTACTATGGCTGACTTTCATTCCTCTTCTTTCAAGTGCATACCTCCACCTCTCCAAGTTCTCTTCCACCTGTTCCCTGTTCTCACCACAGATCACAATGTCATCTGCAAACATCATAGTTCACGAGGATTCCTGCCTGACCTCATCTGTTAGTCAGTCCATCACCAGAGCAAACAAGAAGGGGCTCAGAGCGGATCCTTGATGCACTCCCATCTTCACCTTGAAGCTGTCTGTCACTCCTGCAGCACATCTCACCACTGTCCTACTGTCCTCATACATGTCCTGCTGTCCTCATACATGTCCTGCTGTCCTCATACATGGCCTGCTGTCCTCATACATGTCCTGCTGTCCTCATACATGTCCTGCTGTCCTCATACATGTCCTGCTGTCCTCATATATGTCCTGTACCGGTCCAAGCAGGTGCACTCTCACAAAGTAAAATACCAATAAATCTAGTTCGGAGATAAAATTGTATATAAAGGGTAAAAAGGCCAAAAGAAATAGCTCTGAATCCATTTGGGATGTAGTGTCTGGGTTTGCACGTGCACATTAATACAACTTGACTCAGAATGAAGATAAAGGGGTCCAGACTGCCTCAAAGGTGGTCTGTTAGAAACCATCTTCAATGTTCAACATGGACTATCACACCTGCATTTTATCAGTTGAATCTAATCACTAAAGTCGGACTGAAATGTCTGAACAGGGTCTGTGTGGGTCTTCTGGTTATTTGTAGTGAAAATTGTATCCACAGCACGTTAGCTAGATATCTCAGTGTTATATCCGCCACCCGGAGACAGCTGTTCATTTAGGATTTAGTTATCAGTCGCAACAATCAAGTGTTCATGTTTCATGAGAGGAAGCAATAAAAATGGAACAAGATCTGAGACATTTTCCTTTCTGTCAGTTTATTTATAAAGTGTCCTTCAGAGCACGGTCCTACCACTGGTCGTCAAACGTGATTCATTAAATACTGGTCATGTCCTCTGTTTGAACTTGGCTGGTCGGAGAGTCCTGATCAGCCCTGACCTCAAAATATTAGCTGCAGTAATAATATTTTCCTTCTTGCTTTTGTTGGTATGTATCTCAGTAAATTATTCACGCACAATACGGTGCTAGCGCTATTAGTGTACACGATGTTAGCTTGTGTTGCTAATATTTGTTAGCCTCGTCACTGAGCGCAACAATTAGTAGGTGTGAAACAAAAACAACTCCTATGAATGATCTTTTTTCAAATGCAATGGACGAAGTTGAACAAAACAAAGAGATTGACACCAAGATTGTCCAGATTGGTGAAGAAATAAGGAAGTTGAGCCAATTTTAGTCTAGAAAAATGACTCGTTTTTCCATGAAAACCAACAAACAACATAAGATAATTGGATTAAATTTTCAGGACAAGGAGGAAATGACACATTCTTTACATCAGCTACCTGCGTTCATTATTAATTCATTAATTAAATAATAGCTGTAAACCATATAACCTAGAACTTTCATGATAGGCACTAATAGTCTGTTGCTGTTTTGCGTCTGCCATGACAGGCATTAAGCATCTTCATGCTCACGGGCTCAAAAAGCGCGTTCTCAGCCTCAGATTGCCATGAAAGTCAGTATTTAGATCAAACTTTATTCTCGGATGAGAAGCGAAACGTCTTCTGTTGCAAATAAACTCCAGTTGTTTTTGTCTTGAACTTTTTTTGAATTTACCATGTCCTGATGACGGAGACTCTTCACCATCAAATATTATATTTTGGTGCTGTATCCTCTTTTTGTTGCGTGCTGTTAACCTGAACATGTGTTTTAAGCTTGTTGAATTAAAGCAGGGCTAGTCAACTGCCGGTCCGCAGACCACTTCCAGCCCGAGGGTGACTTCAGTCCGGCCCACCAATTTTGCTTTGGGTTCTGTTTAGTGCATTTATGACTCAGAACAACAAAATAAACCTATTTAAAAGCGAACAGATCATTGTAATAGTTGGTTTATTTACATTATAAGTTTTACTGTTGGATGTCTGGCCCCTGAGCAGTTCGGTTGAATAGTCCAGGTGTAGAGCAACATTTTCAACGTCCATGTTGAAAAACAGCAGAAACATGGTGGAAGAAACTTCCTGGCAACATCATACTAAAAACATAGTTTCGCTCCACCACATGTACCACGCGAGGTGCGAATGACAATAAAGAATCTCTGACTCTGACTAAAACTACTCAGGGAAATACTGCTGGGGGCCGAAGAGAAATGCAATGCAAAGATGAGTGTTTTTCTGAACAGGGAATTCAGCTAAACCTAAATGTTTTTGGTGCAAGACATTCAAGAGGGCAGGAGTTACACCGTGTAGAAGAACATGTAGGTTTTTTTCTTGTTTGAGACGGTGCAGACTGACGGATCCTGGCGAGTGGACGGAGCAGTTGAATCTGCAGTGGAGGAGCCAGGGGGTGGCCAATGGAGGCCTTGCCCACCATAGATTAATGTTTTGCCTTACCAGCCATCCAAGTCCTTTCAGGACACTATACTTATGAGCAATATAAATACTAGAAAATGTAGTTTCTTCCAATGGTGGGAATGGGAGACTGCAACGAAGCCAAGATTCAACTGGTCTGTTGGATTCCTTAGATAGAGAACTTTACTGATTGTTTTTTTATGTATGTGAATGTTCCAGTAAAGTGCCCTGAGACAACTTTGTTGTGATTTGGCGCTATATAAATAAACTTAATTGAATTCAATGATGGGGGTGGCTGGTTTATATATACATATGGTGGTGGCCATCTTGGATTTTAATGTAGCAACCCAGTTTTCAAAAGGAAACTTTCTTACACACCAAAATGAAAGTGAATGCGTCACTTGTTTTCCAAGTTATCGTGCTCACAACATTCACGGATGCACAAAGGGTTTTTCCAATTCCTACTTTTCGCTCCACGCTGGGGGGACAAAAACTGCACCGCCTGACCTGCAGCTGGAACACAGTTCGGTCTGATGTCCTTCCCAGACCCAATCTTAGACTTGTGAGGTAAACAGAATGCAGTATAAGTCAACTGTATATATATATATATATTAATGAGAGGATGACACCTGACCTTTAACTTTTACTCTAACCATAATTATTTAGTTTTTATTGTATTATGCAGTCATTTAAATCACATAAAATGTCATACATTGTTTTAAGTGACACTTTGCTCATCCAGAGCATGCCTATCAGAAAAGGCGAGACGGATCACTCTGAAGTTGTTCGGCTGGACTTCAGGGTGGCGTTCTGAGGAGACTGGACGAGCTTTGACAACCCCCCTACACAGATAATAGTCAAAGTTTCTTTATTTGTCATTTGCATGTGGTACCTGTGGTGGAACTAAATTGTGTACACAGGGTCCCAGTTACATTCAACAGTAATAAGATCTAAGATATGAACTAAGAATAG